AATTACTGCAACAAAGAAATCTAGCTAAAAAATATGAATATTATTTATTTTATAAAATATTCATAAAATATGTATATATACAAATCTAAATAAATCAGCTGGGTTTCTTTGTTGCAGTAATATATAATATATTACTTATTTAATATATATGTATTAAATAAATAAAAATACAAATATATTTAGTCTAGATTAGAACCACTTTATTGATTTATTTAAAGTCAAGGGGTTGTAGCTAAAATAATAGTTTTTATTTAACGTATATGCATTTTACATAATTATTTAATGATTTATTTAAAGTCAATTGATTGAAGTTTTGACTAATGTTTAGTTGTCGATTAAACATTTTGTCTTTGTATTTTTGACATTTTTAATTCTTTCTTATAGTATAATTTATTAAGTTAAATAGTTGATGCATTATTGAAATTACATTTGAGAATTGGTGAAAGTTTCTGTATCACATATTGACCATATTGCTCTTTCTCTCAAATCACTTTCTTTTTCAGATGACTTTACTTAATGTTAACTAACGGACAAATAGCCAATCATGCATAGTTTTAGAAAACTCGTTTAGACCATTTGGGTCTGGTTCCAATCTGATAAGTATGTACTCTCAGAAAAAAAGGTACAAAAGCTGTCACTGGGGCTGTACCTTTTCAAAAGGTAAACTTTTGTCCATATTTTAGGTGCTAATATGTACTTTTTAAGTGTTAATATTTTAGGTGCTAATATGTCCATTTCAGGAGCTTATATGTCCATTTCAGGAGCTTATATGTACATTTTAAATCCTAATATGTACATTTTAAGTGTTAATATGTACGTTTTAGGTGGTAATATGTCCATTTTAGGTGGTAATATGTACATTTTAGGTGTTAATCTGTACATTTTAGGTGCTAATATGTACATTTCAGGTGCTAATATGTACCACTAAGGTACCAATATGCAGTCTTTGGGTATAGAAGTGTATCTTTTGAAAAGCTACAGCCCCAGTGACCGCTTTTGTACCTTTTTTTCTGAGAGTGTAGCAGTAGTTTAAGTGGCAATTCATGTTCACGTTACAGTATTTGTACAGTTTTTGTAAAGATGTAAAGTTGCAGTAGACAACTACTTAAAAAGTGTACACAAATGTAAACTTACAGATATTTAACAATCGCGCACACATTATGCATAGTGCTGGCTGCAGACAGATGTTCAGTGTATGTGTAGTGAAGTAATTGAGATGAGTTTCAGAAACAGAAACCTCAGTGAAACTGCAGATGACAAAAAAACTAAAGATGGTGTGTGCAGTTACAAATGCAATTTACTCATCCCCGAGTAAAGAAACATTGCATATGACTCAGATTAGCCGAATGATTCATTTGGAGGAGATCAGTAATGTCCACTTTCTGCAGAACTCCATTTCTGTAGGACACAGTGGTGAACATGCTGGTTTAATGCATTATTTTTAAGTCTTCAGTGTAAGAACATTTGGATGTATTGCATATGTATTAAGACTTCGAAAAATATTGGAGATCTTTTTTTGCAGGTTAAAAATGATTTGTCATTCAGGATACATTACAAGTCTCATAGAAATCCTCCTAAATGTCTTCTTTCAAATATTGTAACACCTTTTAATCAACCTCTAAAATGCTGATTTGATGCATTTAGAGGTGTGAGCGACTCAATCTAGTGATCCAAAAGTTTAAATAAACTCTGGAATGATTAGGTATGTCCTGTGTTACTATATGAATAAATATGCCAACATAATGGCTTTCAGGTGATGCTGTTAAGGTAGATCGCAGGATACAGAGTGTGTCAGTGGGTGAGTGTGTTTACTGATGCAGAGCGAGAGAGCGAGAGAGAGGAAGGGAGGGAGCAAGAGAAAGACAAGCATTGTTTTAGCTGCAGGGATTGATGACTCGGCAAAACAAAACTGGCTTGTGAAATGCAGAAAATGCAGAGAATGTTCTTTATCTTTATAGATAGATAGATAGATAGATAGATAGATAGATAGATAGATAGATAGATAGATAGATAGATAGATAGATAGATAGATGTAATAAAATAAGATTTGATTTTGAACTAAAGTACTTTGGGAAAACCTGCATTTGTGGGTAGCAGCACTTGAATTTTAATTTTCTAGTACTTTGTGGCATCACCTCTATTTCTCACTCTATTTCTTTGTACCATAAACATATCCTGATATAGCTTAAAATGTCCTTCTCATTATAAACACAGAATTGATTTAACCAAGCTTTGTTTGGATATTGTGGGATATGTGAGGTCATGTGCCTCCCGAGCAAGACATTTAAAAAGTAGATTTACACCATCGTAAAACTGCGTCAGATTCAGGAAGTGGTCGGTTTATTTGTAATGGCCTTCCAGATTGCATTGGAGGGTTATATGTTTTGTCCGGAGCGTTTGATGATTCTGAGTAGGTTCAGAATGAATTCAGAACGTCATGAAAATATTCTATTTTTATTTCTATTGTGTTGTGTGGAGTTGTTGTTTTGGCAGTAGATGGTTTTTAGTTTACATTTAGCCAAACTAAGCTTTTCAGAGCGTTCCACTGGTTCATGACGTGAAGAGTTTCTCTCTGTTGTGTCGTCATGATGTTTGGCTCCTTTGTTCCTCTGCAGCACGATGCAGACCCACTGAGAGACGTCTGCTGCCAGAGATCTGTTCCTCAGGCGGACTGACCTGACTTTACACTTATCTCAAGCAAAGACACTTGCTGTAGAATCAGGGGTCCGCAATCTTCTGCATCACTCGAGTACAGGCTGTTTAGTCTGCATGTGCCGCGCAGGCTTTATTAGCTACATCCGGTCACATTACAAACAGTCAGATGGAAGATAAGCTGGCGAGCTTTAACTCTTCTTTCCTTATCTGCAAAAGTACCATGGTATTATCATTGTTTAGATGTGGTACCATGTTGCTACCACGATATGATTTAGAAATGCACCATGGTAATACCATGCTGTCTTTAATTGACTTTGAAATCTGAAAAACGTAAACATGGCTATCATTCTACTACCATGTTTTTGGACATACCCCATAGTACTATAGTTGTTTTTAGGACTTTTATTATATTATTCTTGAAAGTACACTGGCGTTCAGAAGTTGATAAAAAAAAAATGTTGGATCGTTCAAAATAGTTGTCATTTTGGGAAATATTATTACAATTTAAAACAACATTGTGCATGTACACACTAAGAAGTAAGGTTTTTATTTCATTGTATTGAAAGAAGTCTCTTATGCTCACCAATGCTGCATTTATATGATCAAAATACAGTAAAAAAAAAAAAAAAAAAATATATATATATATATATATATATAAATAAATATATACATTTTGTTACTCTAATAATATTTCAGTTTTTTTCTATACACACACACATATATATATATATATATATATATATATATATATAATTCAGTTATACATTTTATTTGTACAGTTGTAGATTTTTTTTTTTTACTTTTTAATGAAGATTTTATTTTCTGTTTTTTATTTTATTGTATTTTAATTTATATATTTTTTTTCTGTAGTGGTGAAGCTGAATTTCCAGCAGTCAATAATCAAGTGTTTTAGTATTAAGTGACCCTGAAAAAAAATTATAATATTTTGATTGGATGCTCAAGAAACATTCCTTTTATTATTAGTTGAAAATGGTTGTGTAACTTGTGTTGCTTAATGAAGTGTGGAAAGTGACTTTTTTTCAGGACAATTTGATGTAAACAACATTCTAAAGAACATTAATTTTTGTAATTTTAGATCAATTTGAAGCTTTCTTGCTGAATTTAGTGATCCCGAACTTTGAATGGTCATTGAGCCTTTTAAATACCATGTAGTAAATATCATTTTTTCATTGCAGTGAAATCTTCATTCTCCTGTGATTGTTCTATGGTCTAAACATTTGCAGTCAAAACTTCTGTGGTAGAAGATAGGAAGTGTTTTTGTGGTTTTGGACGAGACGAGTTGAAATATTTTGTAGATGCTAAATTATGTTTCGCAATTCACTGTTTTGGCTCCTTATGTCAGTGCAACAGGGTGTTATGTCTACGCATAACTCCTGGATTTTTGTTTTGATGAGCAAACGCTTTAGGATTTCCTGGCTCTTTGTGTGCTGAATGGCAACAATAGACGTCTTATAAACTGTGTGAACCCTAAGGCTCTTTCTGTTTGTCCATGACACTATTTACAAAGAAACAAGATATAGTAAGCAGCGCGCTACTGTAGCCTACTGTGGTTTCTCACTAAATTGAGCAAAAGCGTACTGTAGGATACACTATGTGCATTTACTGTGGGGATGCCAAATAAAAACCTTGTTACATGATTGTAGATGCTAAAGGGTTCACCCCTCAGTGACTCTTTTGTGTTTGTTTTTACAATGGGATAATTTTATAATAGCATTTAGACAGCACAAGAAAGCTTGATTTCAAACTTTGAGTCAGTAATAAAACAAGAACAAATAAATAACAAGTTGTTCACTCCGTGGACTAAAAACAGTTCACTTTGTGTATACAGGCAGGAGCCATCTTTGGAAAACAGTCTCGACAAGTCGAACCACAAACGACGTTCATACAGTTCAGAAGTTTGCTGAACATCATACAGTTCAGCTCACTTAGCACGTCGTTCGTGGTTTGACTTGTCGAGACTGTTTTCCAAAGATGGCTCCTGTCTGTATCCACGAAGTGGATTGTCTTCCTAAAATATCTTTTGCATGTAGGGACCCTCATTATGCTACCTTGTTAGTGTGGGGCTATTTTGAGCCTTGTTAGTGGTATTAACTATCGATTTATTTTTACTTATTATATGCCCCCATATACTACTCTAAACAGTTTTTAGAGATAAAACTCTTTACATTTGATTATCATGAAAACAAATCTCAGAGAACGGTCGACTAGGTACCAATGTGTTATTGACCAAAGGTTGATTTGAGTTGATTTGAGTTATTTGGCTGAATATGTTTATTATTTTCATTATTTGTTGAAAGAGTAACTTCTAATTCAATCTTCTGCAGGTAAATCCCACTTGGCGATTGTTCAGAAAGTCAATAACGAGGGCGAGGGAGATCCGTTCTATGAGGTGCTGGGATTGGTCACCCTGGAAGATGTCATCGAGGAGATCATCAAATCAGAAATCCTGGACGAGTCTGACCTCTACAGTGAGTGGACAGTGTCTAGTCAATGAGTTTTTAGTGTTTTCTTTAAATAAATTCACACAGCAATTTGCACATATCAGTTTTCCAACACATACATTTGACTTCCTCTTGCTGTGCTGCATCACACACCATTTCACGTATGCTTACGAAATGACAGAGACATGCACTCAGCATTTTTTGGAGAAAAGCCCATATCATCATGTTTATGATGTTAGAGTTTTCATGGTACCAATGTGATTTTTTTTTTTTGTCTTTGTTGTTGGAGGAATTAAAGTCCCTGTAAAGGCAATTCTACAAAAAAGTTCTAAACACATTATAAATGTTACATATGTATTGCTAAAACATATTACAAAGACTGTGTACTATGAAGTACTGAAATGTGGAGTTAGACCGTTAAACAGTTTTTCACCATTGCAATTTTACGGATTGTTTGGGCGGGGCTAAAACAGGGCTCGACGATGCACTGGAGCCCATGAGCTCCTGGACACGCCCCTATTTGATGACGCACAGAGTCTGATCTCTCCCCTAACACACAATAACACTCCCCGAGCACATTCGCATTCACCGCTCAATCGCGAGTGACTGTCAGTACTATTAGTTACTACAGCTGAGCCTACAGTTTGCTAGCTAGCTATGCCTTCAACACAGAAATGCATAGGCTACTACCTGGATGCGATCATGTACAAAACAGATCGGTATCTTTATTTAAATTCCCTAAAAACGATCACATCAAGAACAGGTTTTTAGAGAGCCAACCTTGATGAAGAGCTGAGGATCACCGCCAACACCCGCCACTGAAGTGATCATTTTACACTGGATAGTTTTATAAACTTTCCTCAAAGACAACTGGGATTCACTGATAATCCGCTGTTACTGGTGAACGGGGCCGAAACGAACATCTCCCGCCTCAGTGTTCATCCTCCCGTCCCGAAAGCAGTTTCACCTAATATCACTGTCGACAGCTTTCCCGCTAGTGGGCGTGGTTTCAGCACAGCCAGTAGACACGCCCCCAAGCGTTTGAGAACAGAGATAACTGCTCATTTTTTCAAGATTTTGATGGCTTATTTTATGTACTTGCCGGCTTTTTTATCATTCAAATTTGGCAGGGTGACTAATAACACATTTTTCTGTGGTGTGACAAACTCAGAACACATACTTAATTTTGACTTTACAGGGACTTTAAGTCATCTGACTAAATTACTAAGTGTTCTGCTCATATCAGTTTTTGTGTGTTTATTTTGTGCAGCTGATAACCGCAACAGAAAGAAAGTGGCACACAATAAGAACAAGCGAGACTTCTCTGCCTTTAAACACGAGAGTGAGTCTAAAGTCAAGATCTCTCCTCAGCTGCTACTGGCCGCTCACCGCTTCCTAGCAACAGGTAAACAATCACCAGACTGAGTGTAACAGTATGTGTACCTTGCCTTGCCTGGTTTTGCAAACATTTGCTGATAATTTACTCACCACCATGTCATCCAAGGTGTCCATGTCTTTGTTTCTTCAGTCGAAAAGAAATTACGGTTTTTGATGTAAACATTCCAGGATTTTTCACCATGGACTTCATTGGCAACCAAACAGTTCAAGGTCTAAATGAGAGTTTCATTGCAGCTTCAAAGGGCTTTAAACGACACCAGACGATGAATAAGGGCCTTATCTAGCGAAACGATCGGTCATTTCAAAAATAAATAACAAAGTTTAAGTATTATAAGCTCAAATGTTCACATTTGCTCTGTTCTGTGATGAGCGTTCGTGACTCTCCTGTTCAAACTCGTTCATCAAAACGAACTAATCTTTTTTAGAGTCATTTGGTTCATTTCGTTTGTTGAATGAACCAAATGACTTCAACGAACGAAATGACTCGTAGAAAGATTCGTTTGAAGCTACACCGAAAAAAGATTCGTTTGAAGCTGCACTGAAACTCTCATTCTCATTGAAGTTCATTATATGGAGAGAAATCCTGGAATGTTTTCATTAAAAACCTTAATTTCTTTTCGACCGAAGAAAGAAAGACGTGGATATCTTGGATGAGTAAATTATCAGCAAAAGTTTTTTTTAAATGTGAACAACTCCCTTAATATCTAATGCACATCTGAATATAAGATGTTTTTCACTTCCTGCCTTAACAATTATACATCACTTAAATGATTATTTACAAAATTGATAATTAGTAATAAGATTGTGTTTTGGAATTGTTCAAATGTACTTGGGAAAAAAATATGGTCATAATATTGACTTGACATATTGACATAATAATTATACATGCAGTGAAGAAATTGATGTTAACCTAGATGAAAATTTTTATGTTTTTGCCTGTTTTTTGCCATGAAAATAGCCTTGGATGCTGGCGTGGATTAACATGAACCTTGTTGGTTCAATTTGTAACATTTGTACCACTTCATAATCAGGTCCCACTAGTTAATGCTTTAACTAACAATCAGCATTGCATTTATTACAGTATTATTCATACTTTTTTGTTTTTTAGTGTTAATAAAAATACAACTGTTCATTGTTTGTTCATGTTAGCTCAGGTCCATTAAATAATATTAACAGATGCGACTTTTGATTTTAATAACATTTTAGTGAATGTTTGAGTTAACCTTAAGGGGCTGTTTACATGACACTGTTTTTTGACTAAAAATTGGAAACTTTTTATGCATTTTATTCCGGTCATTTACATGACAACAACCTTTTGGGGGCCTTAAAAATCAAACTTTAGAAAACGGGAAAACACAAAGGAAAAAGTTTCCGTTGTTAGTACATCTTTATCGTGTAAACTTAGATAAAACCCTTAGATTAAACGAGCACTTGGCAACTATTTCAACTTAATAAAACCATTTAGAAATCATTTGAATGGTTTAATAACCTGTTCTGCAGAGAATTGTGACTTTTCCCGCTCCCCCCAGCATTCCCAGGCGGAAAACCAACCTTAAAGTGCCCCTTTAAGAATTTTTCATTTTTAGTTCATGTTAACTAATGTTAAGAAATGAAACCTTAAGTACCACAAACCAACATGTTTAATCTTATTGTAAGGTGTTACAGGTCACGTTTCTCAAAAAGTACAACAATATACATCTTAAATTAAGCAAAATGGTCTATTTGACATGTCTTGTCTGTTCTGTCTTTCTCTGCAGAGGTTAATTTGTTCAGTCCATCGCTGATATCAGAGAAAATCCTTCTGCGTATCCTTAAACACCCTGATGTGATCCAGGAGATCAAGTTCAACGAGAACGAAAAGAAATCTCCACATCACTATCTTTACCTGCGTGGCAAACCCGTGGACTACTTCATCCTCATACTTCAGGTAATGGCACAAACTGACTCCTAATCACCTGATCCTTACCTAAGTCATGGCTTGCAGCCAATTGGGCAGACGAGGTGTTTTAAGCGGTTTAAGAAAACAGGCTTTGGCTCGCAGCATGAGCGTGTGTGTTTGGCATTGCCTTTTTGTCACATGCTAAATTTGGAGAATTGATTCAACAGAACTGCTGGCTTACAAAACAGTTTATCAGGGCTATATGATGATGTTTGGGTACAGCCCAGCTGATCATCTATGTTGTGCGCTATGGCCTTATCAGAAATGATTTCAGAGTACCTCAAAAGAAGGTTTTGGTTTTAGATATAGAAGTTTTGACACTAGCGATCAAAAGTTTAGTCTGTAAGTTTTTTTTTCCCCTATTATTATCATTTGGAAACGGATGTGCTGCTTAATATTTATGTGGAAACAATTTCAGGATTCTTTGAATGTAAAGTAAAAAAAATCTTTTGTAGCAGTATAATTGCGTTTCCTGTCACTTTTTTTTTTCAATTTAATGCTTCTTAGCTGAATGAAAGTATTAATTTCTTTAAATAACCTTTTACTGACTCCAAACTTTTGAACAATAGTGTAGATGAGAAAAACAGTTATCACAAATAGTAATAATTAACTGCTATATGTGCTGATGTGGGCAATTGTGTCTTAATTTAATTTCCCTTCAAGAAAAGAGAGGAAAGTTGAAGATTCAAGAAAAAGTTGCACTTTTTGTATACATGTATATGTGCTGGTTGCTTAAAGGGATTGCTTCTTCACATCTGGAAAGATGAATGTGTATTTACAAATGGGTCATTTATGTAGAAGAAATGTGAAATTAGTTTTGAATTTGGAGCTTTCTAGACTGAGAAAAGCCAGAAAATGAATTTTTGGCTTATGTGGATGAAAGACAACAACTCCCACAATGCACTTGCTTCGCTGCCCTAGGAGGCCACGCCTACTGGTAACAGAGCGCAGTAGTTAAACAACAAGTCTAGGCTATTAGTGAGTCTCTGTGGTGAGTCTGTTCGAAAATATGTTTCTAGATCGCCCAAAATGTCCGGGATTCGGCTTTTGCGGTCTACAGTCGCCATTCATCATGTTTACTGTGGCGAGCCGGACGAGTGAGGGCCGCGGGAGAACGACGCGAGGCCGGTGGCGTGATTACCGATGAGCGACACCTGTGAGACGCACCGGTCTCGTATCTCTCACGGAGGAGCGGGAATTTTCTTAGCAATGTTAAAACGCACATCAACCGATTACTTGTTTAGCGTTCATGTAAACACTAAATTCAGATTCACCAATCGGAGTGAATTCAGTTAGATTGAAACAAAAGCTGTGCATGCAAACAATGAAAGCAAAAGCTGAATCCCGGACATCGACGGCCAGATATGTCCGGGAAAAAGAGGATGGTAACCCCTACTACCCAGCTTTCTCCACAGAACAAGAGCCTGCTAGCTTAGCTTCCAAAAAAAGATGGCTGACACTATGTGTTCATTCTGTGAGTGAGATCGCCCTCTATGGACGGGTTGAGAACATGCGGGACAGACCCTACTGGCTAGTCTTTAGCCTTTGGCCAAAAAATCCTCAGATGGCGCAAAATGACGATTTTTGCATCATCGGAGGATATTTTCCAGACAAAAAATACATAAATCTCTCGTCTCAGGGGGATATGAGGGTGGAAAGCACGGTAATTGGAAAATACTACAAGTTTTCTACTAATACAAAGCTCAATGCTAAATCCTGAAGTATCCCTCAGAAGCTACAGTAAAAAAGAGGCTGTTTGTGTATGTTTTGGTGGAGAAAAAGAAAGGAGGGAAAAGGTATCTTGTCTTGACTTTAGTCTCAAAACTCTCAAGAAAGGCATCCCAAAAATATCCTGCAACTGTTTTGTATAAAGAACTGAGCCAAAATACTAAGTGTTGTGCAACTGCAGTAATTTAATGGAGGTTATTGCCAATAAAGCAGGTTTAACTACGAAAAACATGTCTGCACACGCTTTCCCATCCATTAGCTTGGTGATTTTGCACTGTGTTAAATTGTCATCACCTGGATGAAGCCCATCTTAGATTTTCGGAGCTTTTCACATGCAAAATCCAGATTACTTCTTAAATGCAGAGTTGTACTTTTTCCCACAGTGGAACAATCATCCATCACGTATTCCTTCATTCATTCTCTCCGTCTCTTTCTTGGATTTGTTGTTGTTATTATTGGCCTAAACAATCATTAGACCATTCAGCTCATGATGGTTAAACATCACATGCACACCTCAACCTTTCAGTGATTCAGTGAATTTTAGACCTCACACATTGTTTCTTCTATAATGAACATTCAAAACTATGATAATCCACTAAATAAATGCAGGGAGCCAAATATTCTTCATGTTAGTTTAAACTTTAAAGGCTCCTGATTTTGTTCTGGAGGTCTCCTATAATAGATTTACATGCATCCAATATAAAAAAAAACTTATGTTTTTTTATAATATACAATGCAAAAACCATTATCATTATGCAAATTTGGGGTCTACATAGGTTTCGAGCAGAAAGTAAGACGGTTGTTTTTTTTTTTTTTGATTTTTTTTTTTTTTTTTAACCGACGACTTTTCAGGCAGTTCAGAACCGGTTCTTTCTTTCGAGAGACACTTTAATCTTGACAAACACAAACAGCTATATTACCGCTACATGAAAGGTAATATCTAAAAAAGCATAATTGTGTGCACTTTGAACATTTTTGGCATTTACGCTTCTGAGAGTGTGAACTTTGTTTGCTTGAACTGTCATGGACTTAACTTGTCAAGTTCAAGCTCTCCGGTTAAAATGTCTGAAGTTAGTTCATCCGGTGTAGATTATTCACAGCGGGAAGGAGATTCATTAATAGATCATGAAGAGCACACTAGCAGCAGTCTGAGGCTGTCGGGCATCTGTTTGTGTGCCTTTTTGTTATTTATTATTTAAAGCCGCTCAATAGTAGTGTGTGTGTGTGTGTGTTGGAAGCAGGATGTGCTGTATTATTATGATTATTATTTAATTCATTGAGTGTGCTTGCAAGTAGACTTCCCAACATGGAGACCTTTCTTTCCTGGCACCAGTTGAAGATGGCCTCCAACTGAGAGCGGGCCGACTGACCTTCATCAAATGTTAATGATAGTTTCTCTGAGGTGTCAAGCTATGTGCTAAAGATCCACTTCTTCTGTTGCGCTCCTGTGTGTGTGTGTGCTTAAAGGACTTTAAGAAATTAAACTTAATGTTTTGATAGAATCTGAAGACCTAATATCAAGAAACATAACTAGTAAAACATAAGATGACATAAGTAAAACATAAGATTTTTTTTATAGGTTTATCTTTTAATATTATTTTTCTAATGTAAAGATAAGACGAACCTTTTTGATGTTTATTTTTGTATTGTCTAAAAATTAAAGGTGCATTGCGCAAGTCTCTGAGTTTTTGCAGAACAACGCCCCCTGTGGTGACAAGCGAAACTGCAACCAGAGGTGTGCATGCTCATGGACCATACACACGCAAGCTGTTCATAACCAAAGGAGCATCAGCCGCACAAATATTTTGTTATAGTCATAAAGTCTTCAGAGGTAATAAAGTTATTAATCTGCAAGTCATTTTAAATATATGAAAGGAAAGGCATTTGAGTAAATTACACACTTATGTGTGTGTGAGGAGAAAACGGGGGTACTAGAAAACTTTTGTTTCCATCTATCTCCATGTTGAACTGTTTTATGTGCTTACTGTATCCACTTATGATTGTATTATTATGGAAACACGTTCTTGAACAATATAAGTTATTACTTCCCGTTTGAGCCCTAGAGCAGACCGGAGATCTCTCCATTTGTTGAAAGCCTTCCCGATGTTGACTCTCGTCTTATTCCGACGCCTGGCACTAGACAAACGTTTTTATTTTCTTTGTCTTGCGTGGAGTTTGCGTTGGGGCTTGGAATGAACCACAAGCCCGTCTCTTTGAATCCATCTTCTACTTTTGTTGAAAGTTGACTAAAGTTGTGTCGCTCGAGTTGTCTTCGCTGATACGGAGAATGGCGGTGAGTACACAAATCTGCCAGACATAGCGTGAGTCTCAAATCCCGTCCCAAATCCCTCTTATTTATTTTACTGTGCAGGATTATAGAGGCAATCGCAGTGATCAGAGAAAGGCTCATTCAGCCCATCAGGTAATTGTTTAAGCCAGTGTTGTAGTCGAGACCACCTCACTCGAGTCCGAGTCGACACCGAGACCAGAGAGAGTCGAGTCCGAGTCAAGACCGAGTCCATAGAGAGTCGAGTCCGAGTCAAGACCGAGTCCATAGAGAGTCGAGTCCGAGTCAAGACCGAGTCCATAGAGAGTCGAGTCCGAGTCGAGTCCGAGACCAGAGACGGTCGAGACCGAGACCAGTGAGGGTTGATTACCTAATTTACTTTTATTTACTTAGAGAAATCTTCTTTTTTTTTTTTTTTTACTGAATTTACTTAGAGTTTAAAAAATATGATCAGTTTAGGGTAAAAAGGCCTCATAGTAGGTGGTGTTAAAAGTAATTTTATTACAATTTGTCATGCGCAGTTGAAAATCTAGAAAATCACCAATCACTGGGCATGTCAATCAATTTAAAGAAATATTTTATTAACATACATTAATAATCATGAAAAATATTTTTAATTGAACTCGAGTGGACTCGGGAATAATTCCGAGTCCTAAAAAAAAAAAATGTTCGAGTACGAGTCAATTCCGAGTCCAAATGGACACGAGTCCATGACAAGACCAAGACCATTAAAATATGGTCTCGAGACCGAGTCCGAGACGAGTCCGAGTCTCGAGTACTACAACTCTGGTTTAAGCATGTATGGGTTCGAAAAACGGCTATTTTTAACATGAAATGTTGCGCAATGCACCTTTAAAGAGTAACTAAACCCTAAACCAACTTTTTTTAGTTAACGATCTTTAAGAATGGATCTTTATTAAAACCAGTCATTGATTCAAGTAACTATTTTGACATTTGTTTATAAAGTGTAAAAAATATATGGTGTAAAAACGTGTTAGTGCTGCCCTCTTCAGGTTGAACGGTGGCTACTGCAGTTGAATTTTCCTATTGGATGTTTGCGGTTCTTCGTGACGTTCGCACGTTTCAGCTCACCATGAGCTACGCCCTTGGCAGTATAAAAACCAACTTTTTTCGTCAAAACCACTATAGCGAGTCTGGAGTTGGAATTGCGAGTATTGAAAACAATCAGGATAGAGTGTTTTAGCATCTATTTCGTCCCCTCAATCTCCGCTGGGGTCTGCCCACTTTTTCAGCATTTTTCAAATATTGCCAGTGGGTGGAGTCAGGCTCTGACCAGGGGTTTAGTATGGTCAAGAAAAACTGTATGTTTAGCTTTTAGATTATTTATTTTAAATCTACACAATTAGTTTCTCTCTCCAAATCTAAAAACAAGATTTAGCTCAAGATTCATCTAAAGTTTAGCTAAGGGGCCATTTACACCACACCGCTTTCAACTAGAAACTAGGCCTGCCCCCTAATAGTCAAAATTTTATTAGTCAGTCAATCGCAGAAATAGGAACTGAAACTCAGCGTATAGGCTTCTCTCCTCAAAGTCATGAGAAATATAAAGAAAGCTTGAAATATCATGCGGTGAGCTTTATGTGAAAGGTCAGGACTAGTCAGCTATTGAGGTCCACCAATGGAGATTTAGCTTTAATATTTTGAAGATGTATCCGCAGATTCTCAGTGAGGGTTTTAGACTATTTACTTTCAGGTTCTGAATCATTCGCCGTGATTTAAAGCTCTTATTATTTATAACATCACATAGGTTTGTAGGTCTTCATTTTTGTGAGCACTGTGAACTTTTTATGAAACAAAACCCTGTTTTTTTGTGTTAAATATCTATTGGTCACTGTACTGAAGGGCTCTGCTTGCTTGGTTATATATTAAAGAAATATGTCTGGTACTGTTAAGCTGCATAATTATACAGGACATCTTCAAGAGCGTCTAATTGTTCAGACAAACCACTGTCTAATTGATTTTGGATATATATAGTTTAGTTTTGCACATACCTATTTTTAACTCCGTGTCGTGATGAAGAGAATTATAGCAGTGCAGGAAGAGAGGCTGTGATTGTCTGCTCTGTACACAAATATTTGAAGATGTTTGCTTGTGCTCACTGTTGTTAGTAACTCAAACAATGAGCCGTTAAACATACTCATAGTAATTTTACACTGTGCGCATGGCCACCCACGTTATGTTTGTGAATGATTGACAATACTGACGCTGAGAAGAGGTTACTGAGTGATGCAACTCAACGAGACCTTCTGCACGTACACACAAACACACACACAAGTATATAAACAAACATTATCTCTTTTCAACACCTCTATTATTCATACAGCCCATCTGCCTGCCAGTAAAGGCTCACTGTGTGTACGAGGTAAAGATATTCAAATGAGTTGGCTAAATCTGACAAGTTTGCAATATGAAAATGAAATATTTGGCTTCATTTAAAAACAAATAAATGTTTTTGTATTATTATTATTATTATTATTATTAGTAGTAGTAGTATAATTTATTATTATTAAAATGCAAGAATTGGCTTCTTTAAACAATAGAAGTCAATGTTTATTATTATAATTTTTTTTATAATCATTTATTCAAATGCAAAAAAATTAAGTTAATATTGATTATGAATACTACTATTTTTTTTAAAACAATTGGCTTTATTTTAAAATATTATTATTAAAATATTATTATACTTGAATAACAATAAGTCTCAATATTTTTGTATTTTTATTTTTTAAATTAACTCAATGTTTTATTTAAAAACACAAGAGGTTATTATTTTCACTATTATTTATTAATACAAATATTGGCTTTAGTAAAAACAATTGAAGTCTCTGATGGTCCTCATTTCTCAAAGTTGCTGTTTTGTATTTGTAAGAACTGGATATGCGAGATTGTTTGTTGTTGACATCCTAATGCGGGATTTGCTTGTTAAGTGTGTTTATAAAGGACAAATGTGAACTTTTACCTTTATATTTACCACACCCTTGACCCTTCACACACATGAAGGGTATACACATATATTTACACCTTCTCAGTCGTGGATTTGCCTATTAAGTGGCACAATGACACAGTCAGGACGATCTATTTAAAGATCTCTTCTCTGCGTTTCTGATGTTTGTTTGTCTGTGTCTGTACTTTTTGTCCTGGAGGTCTTTCTCTGTAAGGTCAGTTTGCATATTTGTGAAACGTGATTGACCTGATCTTTCTAGAAAAACGGGATTCATGCAGCTGCTGCAGTCCCTCCCTGCAAACAATCTCACTACCTTGATGTTCGCAGCAGGGTTTGTGTGTGTGTGTCACTGCTTTGTGCACCTCATTATGTGGACATCCGTCACTCGTGGTATTCGGCCCCCTCTCTCAGAGCATCATTGTTGTCTCAGTGGATTTACTGTGCTACAGTTCTCACATTCCTCTTGACCAGAGCTCACATTCACACACTCCTATCGTTTTAATCCACTCAGGCCCTTCTCAGTCTAAAGCTACCCGTTCATTTATGTGTCTGTCCACCTATGTGGTGGTGCTTCTGGGAAACTAGTCTTGTGGTGTGATCTCATCTCCACTATGTCTCAAATTCATTCAAAGGTTTAGTTCACCTAAAAACACACAATCAAACCCTTTTTGTCTGTAAAACACAAAGAGAAGATGTTTTGAAAAATGTTCAGACTTTCAATCGAAGACATGATTTTCAATGATTAGTAACTTTAATTTGAGCATGTTTTTTGTACAGTACATTTTTTTGTCCTTTTTTTGAGCTTGTCAAAATATTGAAAAGAGTACTGTACTTGTTTCAGCAATATTTAAAAAAAAAAAAATTTTTTACTGAGCAGATTTTCATCAGAATTTACACTATTCAGAAGTTTGGGGTCAATAAAATTAGTTTAGAAAAAATGTATGCTTTTATTCAAAGACGCATTAATTTAATCAAAAGCTACAGTTACAGACATTCTATTAAAAACAAACCCTGCTCGTTTAAACTGTCTATTCATCAAATTATCCTCATAAAAAGTATCATGTTTTCCACAAATAATTTCGCGGCACTGCTGTTTTCAACATTGATGATAATAAGAAATGTTTCTTGAGCACAAATCATCATCTTAGAATGATTTCTGAAGGATCATGTGACACTGAAGACTGGAGTGATGATGCTGAAAATTCAGCTTTGCATCACAGGAATTACACTTTCAAATACATTTAAATAAGAAAACAGTTATTTTAAATTGCTATAATATTTCAGAATATTGTGTTTAAACCTACAATTTATAAACTTTTTGATATCAAATCACAATTTTATTATTATTAATATTATTATTTTGGTTGTTTAAAAAAAAAAACCCCACCCAGAATCATCTTCCTTCATTGTGTACAGGGTCGTGTGGAGGTGGAGGCTGGGAATGAAAACATGAAGTTCGAGACTGGACCTTTCTCTTTCTATGGAGTCATGGCTCTCAGCGCTCCAACATTAGGTGAGTAAAACATACATCAGAAATGCATGCAAACCAAGACTCTTTTCATACTTCTTTTCATCAAAAGCTTCAAAATAAGAATCAATAGGACAGTCTAAACCTCTAATATTTGATTTGCCAACATGCACAAACATATATACTTCTACATATTGTGTTACTGACCCCTTCAAAGCTGTGGGTTCATAAATAAAAAAGTGACTCAACGTCAGGTTAGTCTGTTTAAAGATCATATCCTATAGACTATCCTTTCGGATTTGTGCATGGATGAACAGTAGGTGGTCTTGTTTGTGCGTCTGTGTGTGCATTATGGTAAAGGCCACCTTATGAAAGGGTTCAACAACAGATGGAAAAATACTTTAAAGCAACAACTGGCTTTGCCCCTAATCACTCATAATTATAATTATCTCACGTGGGATACTGGGACTTTTCCAGGCCACCCATCATCTTTACTTGTTGAGCTCTGGAAAAGCTGTAGATCATCGCCCTCTAGTGGCCATCTGCTTCCTCTTAGTTCATTTAAAGTGTTAGTTCACCCATAAACGAAAATTGTCATAATTTACCGTCACGTCATTCCAAACCTGTATGATTTTCAGTGGTGTACAAAAGGAGATTGTTGGTTGAATGTGAATGCTGTGAAAAATGTGAAGTATTTCTTACAACTCCCACCATATAAGCATTTTGAATCCATATGATAGCTTCGTGTGAGGAACAGACCAAAATTGGTTTCTTCATATATTCCACTTGTTCAACAACCAGCATTACTGATGTTAAACCCGTAATACATGTTCATGTGCACTTTGCGAATGAGATTTGAGAGCCGTGATGGAGAGGAGGCTTTGTAGGGTTTAATGACTTAAATTTCAGTGTTTTCCTCACACAAAGAGTAGCGTGAATGTTCTGCCTAACATCTCTTTTTGTGTTCCACGAAAGAAAGTAAGTCCGTTTTGGATTGTCATCAGGGCGAGTTGATAAATATCAATTTTTGGGTCAATTAACACTTTATTTATAATAGAGGTCATGCTGGTGTTTTTCTATCTGTGCTCATGAATGTATTGTACACTATCGTTCAAAGGTTTCGGATTCATACAATTTTTTGTGTTTTTGAAAGAAAATTCCTATGCTTACCTAAGGCTGCTTTATTTGATCAAGAATACAGTAAAATGGTTAAAAATAAATAAATAAATGAATAAAGCCCACATATAAGATTTAAAATTATACCATATTCATAATATGGAAATAAACCATAGGAATAAATGAGAAAACCATTCACTCTTAGAAGAAAGGGTGCTTTATAAAACCTTTGTTTTAATTGTTTTTAATCTGGTTTAAATTGTATGAATTAATCATGAAAATATTTCCTAATTTAGAATGTTTTTGGCATAAAGATTGAGGCAAGAACTCACTTTTTTTCTGAGACTGAAATCTCTCTAATTTTTTTTTCAGGATTATTTGATGGATAGAACGTTGAACAGCATTTATTTGAAATAGAAATCTTTTGTACCGTTAAACATGGCTTTACTGTCATTTATGATCTATTTAAAGCGTCCTTGCTATAATAAAAGCATTAATTACTTAAAAGAGTTTGAAAACATTTTTGCTGATAATTTACTCGCCCCAAGATGTCATCCAAGATGTCCATGTCACTTTCTTCAGTCGAAAAGAAATTAATTGGTGCCCAGTAAAGTGCATTATATGGAGAAAAATCCTGGAATGTTTTCATCAAAAACCTTAATTTCTTTTCGCCTGAAGAAAGAAAGACATGGACACCTTGGATGACATGGGGGTGAGTAAATTATCAGCAAAAGTTGAACTACTCCTTTAAAAAAACATCTCACTGACCCTAAACTTTTGAGTGGTAGTGCGTGTCATCTTGTGTTTTCCCTCTACCTGTACTTCCCTCTTCCCTTAACCCTGTCTTACATGTCCCATCAATCTCTGTCTTTCTCTCTCTCACTCCCAGTGAGTGTGTCTCGTCCTCGTCACCTGTCTCTTAAGAGATGCTCTCTCTTCTCTCGTTTCCCAGGTAACTGCCGGCATGTCGGGGCTCTAACCACTGACAGGGAAGGGTCAGATTGATTAACAGTGATTGTTTTGCAGAAGAATAATAACGTAGATAGGTTTTTTGTTTACAGACACCAATAACGTAACACTTAGATTTATCGTAGATTTGATCAGATCAGTTCTCACCCACATGTTCCAAACCTGTTTGAATTTATTTCTGTGTGGGACACAAGATAAGAAAAGCCAAGATATTTATCAGAAAAGCAGCTCTTTTTTTATAAATGTACACTTTCAAGCCACAAAAAGCACCATAAAATGAATATGTGCAAGCATTTTCAGTGAATATCAAATTAAATTTGTCTTTTTTTGGAAAAGTAATGTAAGACTCAAAATGTGGATGCTAATGGTGCTTTAATTTGTCTTTTTGGGGCTTGACATTCCTCAAGATGGCTTATTTTTTTTGTTTGATTGAAGAAATAATAATTTCACACAGGACAATGTGAGGGAATAAATAATGACAATTTTGAAATGATAAAATTATGAAATCCTTTTTTTTTTTTTTTTTTTTTTTTTTTCAAATGTGGGCTGCTGTACTTAGACTTTGCCAATAGGTGGCGATATCTGAGTGGAGCTTGTCTTCATCTGTGTGTTATATCCATCAAATCTGCATACCTTTTGTCTGGTGTTTCTTCACATCATAATGTATTCTTTCTTACACAACTATAAATATGTACACTAGCGTTCAAAGGTTTGGGGTTTCGTAGGATTCGTTTTTGAATGTTATTTTTTTTAGTTTACAATGTTATTTTTTTCCTGTGATGGCAAATCTGAATTTTCAGCATCATTCCTCCAGGCCTCAGTGTCACATGATCCTTACCAGTCTAATATGATGATTTGCTGCTCAAGACAGTTATGTGGAAACCACAAATTGATAATAATAATTTTTTTTTCAGGATTCTTTGAGGAACAGAAAGTTGTAAAGAACTGCATTTATTTGATATCAAAATCATTTGTAATATTATGGCAAGCCGTTTTAACATTTAATCATTTTAACCTACTAGTACTTATTTTTTTAGATACTAGTATCTATTCCATTACTAGTACTTATTCAGTTGCTATTAGTGCTTATTCTTTAGATAAGTACTAGTACTTATTTTGATAGTGACTAGTGACTATTCTTTTGTGACTAGTAACAAATTAAATTTTTTGCCATTGGCTTCTATGGGGATCTGTCATTCAGATATCAACTATTCAGTTCTGACAAGTATGTATTCCAAATATGACTAGTACATATATATTAGATATTAGTAGGTATTCATTAGGTACTAGTACTTATTTTTTAGATACTGGTACCTATTAAATAGATACTAGTACTTATTCATTAGCTACTAGTACTTATTCAATAGATACTAGTACCTAATTATTAGATACTAGTATTTATTCCAAATGTTACTAGTAATAATTTTAGTCACAACTGCTTTTTTACTAGTCCTATGTTAAGACTAGTCAGAATGGCCACTGTAGAGTTCAATTAAAAATCTTACTAGTAAAATAAAAGTTCTTACTAGTAGCATTTGAAATAAATACTAGTATCTAATAAATAGGTACTAGAATCTAATGAATAAGTACTAGTATCTAATGAATAAGTACTAGTATCTAATGAATAAGTACTAGTATCTATTAAATAAGTACTAGTAGCTAATGAATAAGTACTAGTATCTATTGAATAAGTACTAGTATCTATTGAATAAGTACTAGTAGCTAATGAATAAGTACTAGTATCTAATGAATAAGTACTAGTATCTAATGAATAAGTACTAGTATCTATTAAATAAGTACTAGTATCTATTGAATAAGTACTAGTATCTATTGAATAAGTACTAGTATCTATTGAATAAGTACTAGTAGCTAATGAATAAGTACTAGTATCTATTAAATAAGTACTAGTAGCTAATGAATAAGTACTAGTATCTATTGAATAAGTACTAGTATCTATTGAATAAGTACTAGTAGCTAATGTATAAGTACTAGTATCTATTGAATAAGTACTAGTATCTAATGAATAAGTACTAGTATCTAATGAATAAGTACTAGTATCTATTAAATAAGTACTAGTAGCTAATGAATAAGTACTAGTATCTATTGAATAAGTACTAGTATCTATTGAATAAGTACTAGTAGCTAATGTATAAGTACTAGTATCTATTGAATAAGTACTAGTATCTATTGAATAAGTACTAGTATCTATTGAATAAGTACTAGTAGCTAATGAATAAGTACTAGTATCTATTGAATAAGTACTAGTATCTATTGAATAAGTACTAGTATCTATTGAATAAGTACTAGTAGCTAATGAATAAGTACTAGTATCTATTGAATAAGTACTAGTATCTATTTAATAGGTACTAGTACCTAATGAATAACTACTAGTATCTAATTTATATGTACTAGTCACAATTGGAATACATACTAGTCAGAACTGAATATCTGAATGACAGGTCCCCATAGAAGTCAATGGCAAAAAAAAAAATGTTACTAGTCACAAAAGAATAGTTAGTAGTCACTATTGAAATAAGTACTCGTATCTATTTAATAGGTACTAGTATCTAATGAATAAGTACTAGTATCTAATGATTAAGCACTAGCAGCAACTGAATAAGTACTAGTACTTAATGGAATAGAAACTATCTAAAAAATCCTTGCTGAATAGATTTCTTTCGCAAAACCCCAAACTTTGAACAACAGTGTATGTTCCATGAGTTCCTGCATTGTCTTATAGTTTATGTGCCCTGTATTCATTTTTGGATGAACTACTCCTTTAGCTCTCTTCACTGAACCTCTCTAGCACCTTGTAGTGATGATGAATGTGTTTGTATGGCGGTATCTCTCTCTCTTATTATCTCTCTCTCTGTTAATGCATTGCAGATGTGGAAAATGTGCTGATGCATTGATTTATGGGCAATTTAATACTTTTTGGTTCCTGTTATTACAAAGAAAAGAGTAAGATAAGAAGGGGTCTTGAGTCTTACCAAAATTAAATTTGATATGGTCTTTGACTTAAAAAAATGTGTACAGAATGAATCTGCAGATAAGTTTTTTCTTACCAAGCATGTGAAAGCATGTAAAAGAACTCTTGACCTTAAAAAAAAAACACACAAGTGCACCCAGAGTGTCAGCACTTTCCCAAGGACAAAACTGTGAGAAGATGAGAACACTTGTTTTCTACTGTCCAGTTTTTGGCTTATTAACTTGTTGGAAATGGGTGTGGCATGTGGTATTCGTCTTCATTTACCATCTCTCTCTGTTGCCTTTTTACTATCTCTTTTTAAAAATGTTCAAATTTGCAATTAAAACATAGGGATCTGGTTGTAAAATCCTTTTCATAATCTTGGGAAATAGAAAAATGTTTGTACTGATATCATATGAACTTTTCAGTTCTAACTGTTCATGCGTTCATTACCTCAAGGCTAGATAATTGTAATGCTTTACTGGGTGGTCGCCCTGCACGCTTAACAAACAAACTCCAGTTGATCAATGAATGCGTCCTTGCTGATAAAAGTATGAATTAGTTGGGTTTTTTGGGGGTTTATTTTTGATTTATTATATTTTTTGCACTGTAACTGACATCATCATCGTGTATCATTTGCTCGCCCTCCTCTCTCACTCCTTTTCAACATTCCGTGTGTGTGTTCCAGAATTCCGCTCGCCCTCTCACATCAGCGGACTCAACCGATCTGCGTCTCTAAACTACACGGATCACCCTGAACCTCAGTCTGTTGGTGGCAGCAACACACAGCTCAGCAGCGCTCCATTGCCACAGTACACACCAGACTTCAATGTCCGAGCTCTGGCAGACCTACAGTTTGTGAAGGTAAAGATATGATGTTAGTGATGCACCAGAAATGGTCAAAACCATTATGGAAGGCTGAAATCCGAAACGGTGACATTTAATTAGCGCTTTTGCAATTGCTAGCTTATATTTCATGTACACAATGTGGATAAAACTACAACAGGTAAACATGTCGGCTACATGTGTGTGGGGTGGACACTAGGGCTGAGTTGACATTGACAATATTGACTTCTTATTTTAAAGTCACCGTGAAATCAAAATGGACAATTCATAATTCATTTTATTCATGTGCCATCGTTATATTTAATCAAAGTAACTTCCCTTCCCTTCTTGCAGCAAAACTTTTTCAATACCCTCTGTTTACTGGCGCGAGGGCGGGACAACCTGTCACTCACAAAGGACCCACCTATAGAAAACCAAAACGATTCAACCATCCAATCAGTTCCCCATTGACAAAATCAAGCCCCCCCCTAAATTCTTTTCTTGTTCTAGAAGCCGACTTTAATATCTTCATTTAGTCTGTGCTGTTTTCAGTTGATGCATGAGCAAAACTTCACTGAACATTATTTGTAGCGTACCTACCATATAAAAATCGCAATAAGCTTTGTTGCTTTTCTGTCATTTTTATAGCAAAATATAAAAAAAAATTACTCTCAGGAGGCTAAATATATAAAGCATTTTGCTATATATACTGTATATTGATTACATGAGGAACACCTGTTCAATTTCTCATCACATGGCAGTTGCTTTAAGGCATTTAGGGGTGTGGTCCTGGTCAAGACAATCTCCTGAACTCCAAACTGAATGTCAGAATAGGAAAGAAAGGTGATTTAAGCAATTTTTAGCGCGGCAGTGTTGTTGGTGCCAGACGGGCCGGTCTGAGTATTTCACAATCTGCTCAGTTACTGGAATTTTCACGCACAACCATTTCTAGGCTTTACAAAGAATGGTGTGAAAAGGGAAAAACATCCAGTATATGGTAGAGCCCTGCACGGGCCTCAAATCTAGGCCCTAGCCCGGCCCTGGCCCGAGACGTCCAGGCCCTAGCCCGGCCCGTGTCCGACAGCTCATCAGAATGATCAGCCCGAGTCCGACCCGAGCCCGTTATTTAAAAAAAAAAAAAAAAAAAAAAAAAACACCTTACACAGCCTGCCCTGTTGCAGCAGTCATTTAAACAGATATGTTTTGTCCTCAATGGCAAAGTAGTTACCGTTTAGATTATTTTCATTTCTTTATAAAGTTAATTAAGACAAATGTTTCTTTTTATTTATTTTTTTATGACGACTAAACACCCGACAGCGAGTTAAACATGTTTGATCCATTTATAGCCTCTCAAATCAACACTTTACTTGGCTACAATAAAATCCATAGATATAAAACAACTTAAACATATTCACACAGACAGTTTACGTTAGTTTAAACGTTTGTTAAACGTTTATTGTCATTTTTGAAAAGCTGAGGCAAACTGCTCCGCTGCTCGCAACAGCGCTCGTACAATACAATACAATACAATACAATACAATACAATACAATACAGAGAATGCAATCTAAACAAATCAAATAAATTAGGCCCTACATTAAAAACAAACATGCAGGTTATCTTACCTCAAAAATCAAGTCTTCACTACAGAACATGGCCATTCGTATTTCCAAAAGTTTCCAACAGACTCATGAAACTAAAGTCCAATTAAACAAAAAACAAGACAACCTCCTAAACAGTCTCTTACAGAGCATCGTGCAGAAAAAGCACCATCCACCGTGGAAAGTTTTAATCCAGTCGTACTTTTTCCAGCTGCGCTGAAGTCACGCTCACTACTTCTGCTGCTGGCGGGACACTTAACGGAGAACGAGCCGGTCGCGCGGATCGCGTTGCCGGAAACCAGTGTGCGCGTGTGCGTGCCGTGAGCAGACTGTCAGTCATATATGTCAGTATGATAGATTATAAAACGTCTTTCTATGTTTGCTTTTCAATAGTCATCTTCTCATATTTTATTTTAAGTAATATCTAAAATAGGCTATAAAAAAGATAAGCCTAAAACAGGCCCGAGGCCCGGCCCGCGTGTGAACTATGACGTTAAAATTGGCCCGAAGCCCGGCCCGAGGAGTGTAAATAAGTCGGGGCCCGTCGGGCTCGGGCTGAAATGCAGGCCTCTAGTATATGGCAGTTCTCTAGGCAAAAGTGCCTCCTAATCTCCACTACAAATGGAAAAAAAGAGGCTACAATTTGCAAGAGCTCACCAAAATTGGACAGTTGAAGACTGGAATATTGTTGCCTGGTCTGATGAGTCTCAATTTCTGTTGAGATATGAGTCAGAATTTGCCGTAAGCAGAATGAGAACATGGATCCATCATGCCTTGTTCCCACTGTGCAGGCTGCTGCTGGTGGTGTAATGGTGTGGGGGATGTTTTCTTGGCACACTTTTGGCCCCTTAAGGCGCTTTTCCACTGCATAGTACGGTACGGTACGGTTCGGTTCGGTACGTCTCACTTGTGGTGCTTTTCCACTGCATGGTACGGTACAGTACGGTTCGCTTCAGGTCGCTTTAAATGGTACCTGGTCTGTTGAGGTTCCAAGCGTACCGTACCAGTACTAAAATGTGACGTGAAACACTGCAGATCACTGATTGGTCAGACAGAATCGTCATTCCCTGCGTCACTACTAGCGTCATTGGATTTGCGACACGAGACACTTTTTTAGCAGTATTTTTGTTTTGCTGCCATCAGCCTCATTTTAAACACATTTTTCCGTCTAGCAGTTAAAAACAACCACATACCGAGAATCAGGAACACCATCCCCTCGATAGTCTCCATTGTTCCTGTGTTGTGGGTTTGAAAATGTGGCGCTTTTAAGATGATGTCATGGCAGTAGAGGCGCGCGCAAATAACGATCAGTCCCACACACTTTGAAGGGGTACTACTGCGGTGGAAACGAAAAGCGATCCAAACTGTTCCGCGCCGAGTCGAAGCGTACTGAGCCGAACCGTACCGTACTATGCAGTGGAAAAGCGCCATTAGTGCCAATTGGGCATCGTTTAAATGCCACGTCCTACCTGAGCATTGTTTCTGACCATGTCCATCCCTTTATGGCCACCATGTACTCATCCTCTGATAGCTACTTCCAGCAGGATAATGCACCATGTCACAAAGCTCGAATTATTTCAAATTGGTTTTTGAACATGACAATGAGTTCACTGTACTAAAATTGCCCCCACAGTCACCAGATCTCAACAATAGAGCATCTTTGGGATGTGGTGGAACGGGAGCTTCATGCCATCCCACAAATCTCCATCAACTTCAAGATGCTATCCTATCAATATGGGCCAACATTTCTTGTTGAATCAATGCCATGTAGAATTAAGGCAGTTCTGAAGGCAAAAGGGGGTCAAAAACAGTATTAGTATGGTGTTCCTAATAATCCTTTAGGTGAGTGTAGTTAATTCATAATAAAAAGGTTGAGATAAAAAATGCCCAATTTACAGTTCAGATGTTTATGTATGCTTAATTGAACTTAATTTTCGGTTGAAATGAAAACTTTCCTTTTGGTTTTGTTTAATTAATTTTGGTGCGTCACTAATATGGTTTATTCCTTCATCCATCCAATAATTCTACAAGATATTCCAAAAACCTCTCACAATACCTTTCCATCTCTTCTTGTTGTCCAGATCACACGCTCTCAGTATCAAAACGGTCTGATGGCGTCTCGGCTGGACAGCTCGCCCCAGTCTCCAGACAGCGGACACGGCCGTGTGAACAACAGCACATCATCCATTCCCGATCCCTCGTCGGAACACGCTCGCGCTCACGGATGCCCCCGA